AAATAATATATTTAATTAAAATTATTATTTTAATTACTTATTTTTACTTAAGTATTTAAATACTCAACTATTTTCAAATACTTTGACTAGTAAGTGCTATGTAAAAAAAATCAGGAACACTTTAGGTGTACTAGGACATCCATCAACTACATTATCACTAATAGGGTTTACAAGGGTGTTTTATTGAAAACACTCCTTAGAGTATGTTATTTTATATTACAAAAAGTTTGCACACTAAACTAGTTCACCTCTTTGTTTGATAGTGACATCTTCTGGTGGGTCTGAACATGCTCTTCCAAAATCATTTCTTTCAGTTAGGTCAGTCCTAAAATACGAGAAGTGAGAACTAAGATTTCAGACTGCTACTCATAAATGTGCAGGGACTCAGTATATATTCCATCGCAGTTTTTCTCTCCGATTTTTCCTCCTCTTCTGTTCACATTGGGAGGACCATAAAAACTGTATTTTGGGAAGTCTCTAGGGACTAGGAGTAGCAGATACAATTTCCTTCTGCAAAGTCATGGTGGAGTGGGCCCAAGTCGGTAGCACTTGAATCACTATCACCAGCTGGTAGTTGTTCTGGTTCTGCAGAGCCTGTTTAACAGCATCCTAGCAAATTCCTTGGTCCTTCCGTACGTTAAGCACTGATTAAATATAATAAACTACTGTTGGTTTGGGTCTTTTTTTCTCCTTAATACTGATTCATGTGGGGTTTTGGAGCTTGTTTCCAAGTAGTTTTATACCATTGCTGTTATGCTAAGAGCTGTCTGGAGCTGGTAATCAGATTTTCTTCAAAAGCACTGGAATTACTTAAACAGTTATGAATGGGATTTATTGCAAATAAAAAAAGCCTGCCTTTTCTGTTGGAGAGAATGGCAGAATTCTAAAGATCTGGACTCCATATACCTCCTTATGTGGTAAAGTGATTGCTTGCGTCTGAAGTCAAAACCTTGCTTGCCTCCTGGGAAACAAGGATGCTCTTTTCTTGACTTGAACCACGGACGTCTTGGGCAATATTCCTGTTACTATTTTATTTCCTATTACCTGATTGATTAGGATCTTTAACTCATTTTTAAATTGCTTAGTTTAGAATGATAACTACTCCACTCTTCATGATGAATTGAAAAGCCAGCTGTGGAAACGCAGAGGAGTACTTAGGAACACCAATTCTAATCCCACATGTGTATGCATAAGCGCCTAACATAATTTCTGAAGGAAAAAACAGATAACATCTTTTGTGTGTGTGTGTGGTCACTGCTGAGAGTGGAAGTTGCATTTGCAAGAAAGTATCAAATTTAGTGTTTTCTTTTTACTTCAAAAGATTTTCCATGACTATTCACAGGTGATGTTATGACTGAGATTAATTTCATACAATACAGTTGAATTCTGGGAGGTTGGGACAGGACTTTCAGCTTCTAGTGCAGGTTAGAGATTGGGGGTTTAATGTTTGTGGTTTCGGGTTGGGTTTTTTCTTAAGCACCTTGGAGCAATTTTTTCCCGTTTTTTCTTTTATTAAAAGAAAAAAAGAGGAAAAATGGAAGCTACAGAAAATAAAACTTCATCCAAACGGTACTCTCTAAAAGTATACTGGGCAGCGTATCAGGAGGGAAAGCTAAGTAAGTTCTTATCTGTGAACAAAAGTTAATGTGGTCCTGAAAGTCTGGTGTTTGCCTGTTAATAAATGGGATCTTCCTAGCGCCATATCTGATCTCGAGGGGGATGTGGATGCTGGCTGCATCTCTGAGTGAAGTGAAAGAGCTGAGGGAGCTGAACCAGGTCTGATGTCTGCTCCACCAGAGATAATGCAAACTCTCCCGGTCTGTTTGGGAAATCGGATAACTTAAGAAGACGACCCAGAGTATATTGAAGAAATAAAAGAGTAGGGGGCCAGGAAGTGGTTGGTAAATCAATGATTGATTAAGTAGACTAGCTATGTATGTAGTTCTCTAAGTGTGATGGAAATTTTGTTTAGTTGATATCAACAAATTGATGTTTATGCCCAGGTTAGTGCACAAGCAGTTGCCAACAGCCACCACACAGCACATTCTCTTCTCTGTATGTCTGGTTACAACAAACAAGATACTGTCATACTGCACTGAATTGGGGTTTTTTGATGCAGGTAATTGGGCGGTTGCAAAAATAACAGTTCTAAAAATGCATCTAGATTGAATTAATATTTTTATGTAATATCAGAAATGTGAGAAATCCCATTTGCAAAACCTTATCTTGGAGTTTCTAGATACTGCATTTTCAATACATTGACCATGTTTTTATTTGTAGTAAATTGCTGTATAATTCACACTCTATTTCTACACGATGTACTTGATTAAAAAAAACGCTCCCCTGTATTATAAAATACCATTTTAGTATTGTATGATTTATTGACTTCAGGCATACAATTAAGTCTTGGATACAGTGCTTGTAATTAGAATACATTTTGTTATTGTCTTTGTCATTTGCAGCCAAAATTGTTACAAACAAGATTTTTTTTGCACAGTAGTTTACTGTGGGCTAGAGAGTATTCACGGAAAGTTTGAAACACATAGTTCTCTCTGTTTTGAGACGGCAGAATATCTAATGGATTTCTACTTCTGAAGTTAATTCTTAAGCACATTCAGAACTGTCAATCAAACAGTAATTTCATTTCTTCTTATTGAAATTTCTCATAATATTTTTGTGTGTTATTGTTTCAGGTGAGTCTGATTTGGATGATCGATTTCTTGGTAATCGAGTTTTCAGCAGGCAGTTTAATATAATTCCCCTGAGTCATTCATTGCACAAACTAAAATTCTCATTTCAGTCGCTAGTCTTGTCTGTGGCATCCTCTTCCCTCCTGCACAGACTTAACATTTTAAAAAAAAGTAACTGTCTATATAATATATACAAGTTAATAACATTGCTGTGGAGGAATGCTGGTGGATTTTCAAAAATTGTATGGAATCATAGAATCATTTGGGCTGGAAGGGACCTTTAGAGGTCATCTAGTCCAACCCCCCTGCGGTTACTCAGAGCCCCATCCAGCCTGACCTTGAATGCCTCCAGGGATGGGGCTTCCACCATCACTCTGGGCAACCTGTGCCAGTGCTTCGCCACCCTCATTGTAAAATATTTTTTCCTTATGTCAAGTCTAAATCTACCCTCTTTTAGTTTAAAACCATTGCTCCTTGTTCTGTCACAGCAGACCCTGCTAAAAAGTCTGTCCCCATCTCTCCTATAGGCCCCCTTCAGGTATTGGAAGGCCGCAATGAGGTCACCTCGAAGCCTACTCTTCTCCAGGCTGAACAGCCCCAACTCTCTCAGCCTGCCTTCTCAGGAGAGGTGCTCCAGCCCTCGGATCACTTTCGTTGCCCTCCTCTGGACCTTCTCCAATGGGTCCATGTCTATAATATAAAAATAATATAAATAAGCTCTAACTTTATTTGGATTTTGCAGGTGCGCAGATTTGCAGAAGCGTTCTTTTGTCTTGAGCATCCTAGGCAAGCTGCCCTTGCCTATCAAGAACTACAGTGAGTAACCTTTTGAAGTGCACAGTATGTAGCATGTAGTATTATTGTTCTATAACTTGTGTTGTGTACAAGTACTGTCTTGCAAAAATATATAACAATTCAAGAGAAGTTTATGTTCTAAATACAGATTGAAGTTTTTTAATGAAAGTTATATAAGACGTTATTAAACAACCATTAAAGCTATTAAGTAACTAATTAGTAGAAAAGCTTCTACTAAAGTGAATTAAACTACTGCTAATTTCTGTTAATGTAAAAATAAATAGTTCTATTTTTTTCACGTAGGACTGCTTCCTTTTTTTCAGTGCTCAAAGTCATCTACAGATGTGTGCAGCTATCAAAAACACTTCCTTCTGCAGTTCTCTTCCACCCCTCCCTATTGAATGCAGTGAGCTAGATGGAGATATGAACTCCCTGCCTATAATCTTTGAAGATCGATATTTAGATTCAATTACGGAAGGTAAACACACCTCACAGTGCAGTTTTCTTTTTGAAGAAACAACCAAAAATTATGTAAAACCTGAGCATTTTTTTTACATTTCTTGCTGGCTTTAAAGGAATACATTTATTTGCTAGGAAATATTTCTTTAGAGTTTTGAGGATGTATAAAGTTTTATAATTACTAGTGTTTTATAGCTTCAGTTACCTGCATAATCTTGTTGTAAACAATCCTTTATGTTTGGTTGTTTTTGTTTTGTTTTGTTTTTTTTTCTCCTTACCTCCCCCTCTCACTTCTTTTGGTGAAAGATCTGGATGTACCCTGGTTGGTAGTTCACAGTCTTCCAAGGTCAGAGTCCAATAAACTGGATAAATTTGAAGCTGAAGAAGGTTTTGTAGCTGGTTTTACTAGCCCAGAACTGAAAATAAGACCTGCAGCTGCCTCCAACCTTTGGCATTCAGAAAGTGAAAAGATGCTAACAAAAACTTTGAAAGGGAAAAATGAAGATGCAAATAAATCCAAAGTTAAGGTTACTAAGCTCATTAAAACAATGAAACCTGAAAACACAAAAAAAATCGTGAAACAGAACTCTAAGGACTCTGTGGTCTTAGTGGGCTACAAATGTTTGAAAAGTGCAGCACTGGAAGATGCCTCTAGAAGCTCAGAAGGCAGGCCTTCATACAATGCTAACGAAGGGCTGGACCCTACAGTAGGTGGATTTCCTTGTGATACAAAGATGTGCACCAGGCAAATAAGTCAAAGAGAACATCCATTTTTGCCATCTGGAACTGAGGAAAAGACTGCCAAGATCGAAGGTGTCCAACCAACTCTGGGTAGCCCCGTGCACTGTGAAACTGTGGCTATTTTTGGTAGACTTACTATCTCCCAGACAGGTTCTGGAACTATACAAGCAGATAGTGCTCTGCAGCCCAGAGGTACACTTGAAGGTTGTCATGGAGGTCAGCCAACTTCCTCAGGAGTCAGGACAATTGAGGTCAAACCAAGTCATAAGAATCCCTATGCAGGGGAGAAAGTAACTGTTCACATTGGGTCGTGGGCTGAGTTTCCACAAGATGGAGTGCAAGGAGAGAATTTGCAGACACCCAATATCGAGTCTTCAGAATCTGGAAATAAATTGAATTCAGGAGAACAGGAACCAGTGCTTGAAAAGGAAGATGTCCACGAAAGAAACTTCCGACATACCGGTGACATCTTGACAAAAATGAAAAGTAATCAGCCTACTCTTTCTACAAAAGAAGGTCAACTTTCTGCAAGTGGAGACATGACTAAATTACCAGATGTCAGCGTGACCTATGCCTCTTCTAGGTTTTCAGATTCAGGTGTAGAAAGTGAACCAAGTTCCTTTGCAACTCACCCCAACCCTGATCAGGTTTTTGAAAATGTTCAAGGGCAAAGTGCATACAATAGTGAGAGAATATTTCCTCAGCTTTTACTAAAACCGGACTGTGCTATAAAAAATGCAATAGAAAGCCATTGCACTGAGAGTACCAGCGCTGTAAGTGAAATACAGTCATCCCTGACATCCATAAATTCTCTGCCTTCAGATGATGATGAGCTGTCACCTGATGAAAATTCAAAGATATCCATTGTACCTGAATGCCAGCTAAGTGACAGTAAAACGGTGTTGGATCTTGGAGCAATTGACTTGCCAAAATGTGATGACAGTAAAAAACCCAACACGAATTTGCAGCAACAGTGTGTTGTATTTTCAGGGCATTCAGAGAACAAAACTCTGTCTACACATTCCTCGCTCTCAGGAACAAAAGATCTTTCACACTTAGTTGTTTCAGATGAGGGTACGTCTACTGATGTGAAAAGTTACAGCCCACAGGCAGACCTTGGCACAACCTGCAGCGACTCTCAGGACCTTGAAAGGCATCTTAACACTACAGAAGAAACAACTAAATTGCATTTGGAACTTACTTGTATGGGTGAGCCATCTGTTGTTTCACGTTCTTCATCTGTAAATGCAGTGTATGATGTTGAAAAAACAAATGAAGGAAACCATAACGAGCCTTTAGAACTAAAGGACACAGCTGAAGAACTGTCAGTAGCTAAAAATGAAACTGGTATGGACAACCCTTCTCCAACCAGTAGTACTGACATAGTAAAGCAAGGGCTTGTCGAAAACTATTTTGGCTCTCGAAGCAGCACAGACATTTCAGATATTTGGCCTATGGACAACAGCAATCCTGTTAGCCCTCAAAAGGAAACATATGAAAAACAAATTATTTGCTCTTCTCAACAAGACGAGGAAGAAGAGGAGGATCAGGAAATGATTGAAAACGGGTATTATGAAGAAACAGACTATAGTATGTTAGATGGAGCTTCCAGTGCTGACCGGGATCATGGCTCAGCAGAAGAGAGAGCCCTGAGATCTGAAAGGATTGATAGCGGGCATCTGCGAGATGGAATGACTCTGCCTCCTGTCTGTACTCCTGCTTGTCTGTCTTTTCCCTCTTCTCTGAGAGACTCTCCTTGCAATGTTATCTGTTCTCCGAGGAATAAATCTGATGCAATTACACAACAGCCAGGCAGCACGTCCTACAGCTCAGCTTCATCTGTTTCCTGGTATGAAAGCTCCCCAAAACCTCAAATGCTAGCGTAAGTGATTGTTTTAAAACAATTTTTTTACTTTTAGAAATTATGTTAATGTAGTATAGAAGGGGAAATGAAGTGTGGTTAGGCTCTAGAGTGCCCCCAGGACTGTGGCTTATGGATTCTGCACACTCGGGTAACATCACATTTTAGATGTTCAGATAGAAAGTGTGTTAGCACTGAATTCCTTCTGTCAGTTTATCTTGTAATTTCATGTGACTTGAAGAACTTAAAGCAAAACGTGCTTTTTTTGTTTCTCTAATATGTTCCTTTTAAAAAAAAAAATCATTTGACAGAAAAGTGATGTCACAATGGCTACTGAGCATAAAAATGGTGTTTTATGAAATGGAAGCTCTTAAAATAGCAAGCGTAGGAAAATATGCTTTGAGTGTAAAAACATAAAACCAAAAACATTCTGTAACTGGTTTTCAATCTAATTTCTTAAGTGAAGCAAATGTGCAATGCATGCCAAGATGACGGCCTTAGTTTTCAATCTTAACTTCAAATATCCAAAATGTAACCCCTCAGAGACCATAGTACTCTAAATTACGCTGCAATTTGGTTACCAGGAAATTTAGAGGAGCATCAGGGGTCCCAGACTGTACCTCCTCTTGCTGTAAACATCGGAGTTTCGCTGGTAGCCCCCTGCTGCTAACTGAACATGGGAAGCAGCAGCTTAACGTGTTGTACTGGAAGTGAAACGTTGCTATCGGAAAGAAGAAAGCTTAGAAGAGCGTTAGAAACAAGGAGAGTACTAGGCAGGCAGAAGAGATAAAAGACCAGGTAGTGGTAAGCAGCTGAGAACAGGAGGAAGGATTGAGAAGTGGTGGAGAAAACAGGTTAGAAATGGACAGAAAAGCAGCTTCTGAAATACTGGAGAGGGGATGCTGGTGTGGAATGGGAGGGATGAAAAGCAGAGACTGTTTAGGGTGTTCTGTACAATAAAAGACAGAGGGAACTCAGAGTAAAATCAAGGCCTTGGCCCTGGGGAAGGCAGGGTCTCTGAGTATGGGATAACTGGGATTCTAGAGAGCATGATTTGTTCCATAGAGAACCAGCCTTGGTACGTTCAGCTGAGAAAACATGCCTTGAGTACAAAGTAACTTCTGCTGCAGAGTGATAAGACCAACTGCCTGCAGTGGTATCTGTTAGGCTGACTTCATTGAGGTGTGCTCCTGCCAGTTAGTGAGGAGTGGGCTAAAGATAAAGCTGGGGAAACAGAGAAAAAAAAAAGTAGAATGGGAGGAAAACCGTGAGCAGATGGAAGAGGATAGGATTGAGCATGACGCTGTGAGGGATCACGCAGAACAGATGGATTAAGGAAGGAAAGAAGCATAAGGAAGCATAAAGCTTGAAATGCTGCGGGGAAACTGATACGCAATTAATTAGGTAGGAAGGTCATACAGCAAAAACCAAGGGAAGAAAGGGAGGAACGCAAGGAACTCCTGGCATGTGAGGAGCTCAGCTGTTAGAAACCGTATAGTGTATGCCTTCATATGATATGTAAAAGATCAGAGGTCTGGATCTGGCTGCTTCTGAAGCAAGTATCGGTTATTCAGCCTACCAGAGGGACTTTCTGGTGAACGGTTACTGCACTGGATCCAGCTCTCTGCTGACCTAGGAAATAGGTTTTAAGTTTGGCAAGAATTATCAAAAGTCAGTGGAAATCTTTACCTTGACTTCTGATTGGTTATAATTTCTGTAATTCTGTTATTGCGTTTAAACAAAGCTGTTGTTTGCTCAAGACCAGAGCTAACCCAGAATCTTCAGTGGTTTCAGAAATACTTTAGAGTTTGCAGAGACATTCAAAGGATTTTGTTACAGAGGAAAAGGGGCTGTAGGAAGCTGCAATAAAAATATTTTGAGGAACTGACTTGTTTTTTGAATATAGTAATTTGATAAATATCGTTTCCTTTGTATCAGTTACATAGAAGACAAAGTAAAAAAACAGATGAAAGCTGTAGGAGACCCTACGTTTGTCTGGCAATAGTAAATGTTTTTTTATCCTAAGTATGGTTTCGTTCCAGTTTCCTACAGGCTAAAGAAGAACTGAAGCAACTTAAACTTCCTGGATTTATGTATAGTGATGTTTTCAAACTGGCTTCTTCAATACCTTATTTCAGTATGGAAGAGGATGACTGTTCAGAAGAAGGAATACATCTTATAGTCTGCGTCCATGGCCTAGATGGTACGCTGGGAAATGTGATACTGAATGAGATACCAGTTCAGATTACTGGTCAGGCTTAGCTTTTGTCATTTGAACTCTGAACTGAACACTTCTGAACTAGGTTCACTGGAGGGAAAGTGGCAGTCTGACATTGTACTGCCACATTTGACAATGTGCTCCATAGAATCATTTAAATTAAGAATTTTATGTAACATTTGTCTTTAGTAAAACTTTCATGCACCCACCTTATGCCATAGTTCACATTAGACACATCCAGTTTTTTATGTCATGTAGGTATTTGTCTGCATCGTGGTAAAAGAATGGAGTTAATAACAAAACAGTTTTGTTCAGAATTTGTAATGTTACATTGTCAGGAAAATAAAATATGTCTATCATGTTAGGAAAAAAAAGTATATGTAAAATGCAGTCAAGTGTCTGTAAGGTTTTAAAAGGTTGGATTACTGAATCACAGAATGGTTGAGGTTGGAGGAGATCTCTGGAGAGAGTCTAGTCCAACTCCCCTGCTCAAAGCAGGGTCACCTACAGCAGGTTGCCCAGGACCCAACCCAGTTGGGATTTTGAATATTTCCTAGGACAGAGACGCTACTGTAGCAGAAATGAGAAAATCTCTTGCTAATTGAAACGATTGGAAAGTTTAAATAGCTTGAATGTATTCACCCACTTTTAGTTCAAAGCGTATGTGCATGTTGAGAGATAATATCCCCTCTAGTTAAGATTTTTGTAGCTTTCTGCCATCAATGTTTTTGTCTTTTTTTGAGAAGCTTATTAAATTAATGTCAGGAAACACAAGGGGGCAGTAGGATAGAATATTGGAATGGACCGACATTGCACAGCCTTCTTGTCCGTTTTTCAAATTCCTAAGTTAAAAAAATTAATATAACAGAATAGCTTTTCTTTCTTCCTCTGGGCAGAAGGCAGCCTTTGTTAAGTGCTTTTAAAATGGAACTCAGAAGTATTCCTTCTTACTAGCTAGATGTTCAAGTGCTATTGCGTGCCTAGAATTGACACAAAAGTTAACTTGGCCAAAAAACCTGTCCTTAAAAAAACATGTCTTTGAAGCTTTAGAAAAAGCCATATAGTTAGAATTTTCTTATGAAATAGCAAGTTCATACAAGTTCTTTCCTATTAATAAGAGATTTAAATAAAAATCTTGTTCTCTAATTAAGGCAGAAAGGGTACTCTTTCTTCGAAAGCATACATGATCATTGATACAGAGAAATCTTCAGGATGCTGGTTAAACTAGCATTTGTTGTCTTGTTGTTATACCAGTCTAAACGTATCTTTATCTGTTAATGGTCCACTTTGCCTTTTTATTCTATGAAAGTGTTTACGACGTGCCCTTATTCCTTGCTCCTCCACTGAATTCTTTATGCTAGCTCTGAATTCTTTAATTGACTTTTATCAAAATTAACTAGATTTTCAAGAATGTAGTGTTCAGAGTGCTGCATATCGGTTGGATACTAAGACAAAATCAAGCATGACTTCCTAAATTCTTGCATTTTTAAAGTGATGTCTGCGTTGAATGTCGTTTTTATAGACCATTTTGTCACTGCGTTTGGCATTGTAGTTTATCTTCCCGAGTCTTACTGAATTTTAATTAGGGCTGAGAATATCATTAGCTGTGTTTAAATATAAAGTTGTGCCGTAGGTTCATTTTAGTATTCTAAGTGCTTTTAGTGCAAGTTAACTTCACAGTATCTAACTCTTGATTGTTTTTCCTTTTAAGGTAACAGCGCAGATCTAAGATTAGTGAAGACTTACATTGAGCTAGGGCTGCCTGGAGGGAGAATAGATTTTCTTATGTCCGAAAGGAATCAGGTATTTGCCAATAAAAAAAAGAATTTTTGTAAAGCAATAAACAGTGTACGTCTTCAAGACATGTTTATTTAATGGCACTATTGTGTTGCAGTTTACCACATTCTGTATATTTTTATTGAATTCTCATGGAATCCAGGATTTGATCTGTGGCTTGTGTTAAAGTAATTACAAAACCTAGTATGATATTGAAGGTAAATATATAAGGGGTAACATTTGTTGCTGCCATTTTGTTGTGTGTACTGATATCTCCTAAGTTCTTAGCATAATCAGTTAGGATTGTGGATAAAATACCCTTGATATTAATGGTAAAAATGGTGATAGGGAAAACTGGTGTGGCAAGAAGGGAGATGTGTAATTTCACAGGATCTGAGAAAGACAAAATACCTGTCTTTTGTTCTTTTGTCAGTGTACTGGAAGATCTACATCATGACACCAAGCCAATATCAAATTACCTCTTGTGTTAAACTTTTGTGAATTTTGTTACTTTCAGATGAAGTAAACTTGACAAAGCACAGAAGACCAACTTTTAAGGTTTTTTTGTATGTGTTACATACTGTATTAGACATACTTCAGGGATGAATTAGAACCGAGTCTCTTCAATGGCTCAAAGGAAAGGTTCATTTGGTGAAGTGGCATTTTTCTGGCGGTAGCTGCTGGGGTGCTTTGCGAAACAGGCTGGACAGGCACCAAGCTGTGCTTTCTCTTCTCCAGCCTTGTAGTTTTTGGCAGTCAGCAGTTCTGAAACTTTCTGATTTAGGAATTCCATTGAGACCACTGAGCCTAATAGCTCCTGGCGGACTTTTCTCCTTAATGTTGGCTGATTTTGTTTTAATGTTTTTACTTCCCGTTTCCATGGCATACAGTTGAGATTAATTCTATAGTTCATACACATTACTAATTCAGTTGCAAACAAGGAAGTTTAAACAAATCCCCCTACGGCTTGTTTTGGAAGAAAAATAGTCAATAATCATTCTCCATTTTCTGTTTCAGTTAATTAAGTATTTTATAAACAAGCATTATTTCTCCCTTGGGAGGCAACTGAAGAGACTTAGTCCATTCAGTATTTCTCAGGATCACATGTGAAACAGTTTCTGCTCATCCATGATATCCTTCCGTGCCCATTTTCAAACTTCTTGTCATTTAAAATAGGATGATCAGAACTAGGCAGGGCATTGAAGATGCCTGTGCACTATGGACTTACAAAATGCTATATTGGTATTTTCTGTTCTGTCCTTGCTTTCCTAACGTAGCTGACTATATAGAACGCAGATGTATAGATTATTTTTTGCATGTATGTTTAGGGCTGGTTTTCCCTATGTAACATTGTTCTGCATTTCTTGCCACTTTATCACCCAGGCATGCAGTACTATAAGATTCTTCTGAAATTCTGATCGGTTCTAGACTTGACTATTCTGGGTATTTGGTTTTGTCTACAAACTCTGACATCTCATCCCCTTCTTCCCTTTCCTAGATCATTTATCAATATGTTGAACATTACAGATTTTACCACAGATCCGTTGGAACTTGCATTGAAAAGTTTTAGGCAGCCTTTGCCTACCTCCATTTTTAATTTCTTACTGCTAATCTTTGTAGAGAATCAGCTGTGAACTGTCAATAAGGCTTTAAGGATTTTTTTTTGTTTGTTTTGAATAAACAGTACTAATGTAGACTCTTTCTGCTGTTGCAGTAATTGTCTCATTTCTATTTCATGGGCAGTGTGATTTAGTTCTGAATATGCGGTTTGGTCTTCTGTTTTGCTACAGATAAGATTATGTGTAGGGGAAGGCTTAGAAGTAAGGCTGGCTGTGTAATGTTAAGATTTGTTTTGGTGTATTAGAAGTAAGTAGTCTTACAGTAAAATGTGTATCACTTTATTCCATGTTACAAGAAAAAAAAACTTTAAAATTATCATAACTAGCTGTAGTGTTTGTATTCAAAGTTAATATGGATGCTTTTATTTGTCTGCTGTTGATCAAAACACTGGGGAATATGAATTCAGATTGAGTGCAGAATGTATATTGCTGCATTAGAAAATACAGTTATTATTTTTTATTTCTTTTATTTTACAGAATGATACCTTTGCTGATTTTGATTCCATGACAGATCGCCTTTTAGATGAAATTATACAGTATATACAAATTTATAATCTAACCCTTTCAAAAATCAGGTAATATCTGTTCTATACTATTTATAGAAATAAACTTAAAACTAGAGCCCTGTGTTGTTCTGAACTGCGATGCTCAGAAGCAGGCCAAAAAAGAGATGGGAAAGAAAAATTCAGGGAGGGGGAGGAGTAGGAGAAAGGACAAAGGAGAGAGAGAGGGAATTCCCAGCTGAAAGAAGACTGAACGATGTTTTGAGCTCACCTACTCCTGTTGGTGGTTTTAGGGCAGAGTTAATTGTTCCGTCTAAGGAACTGCTGTCCTGTGCTTCCTCAGATCCTGCATGGTTGGATTCTGCAGAAAAACAGATAATATTTTGAGAAAGTCGAAGGAAACTAATAGCACTATGTCAAGATAAAGTTAGCTTTCTTCTGATTTTATGGTCTCTTCACCAAGTATGACATGGCAGACTGACTGTCTTGTCATTCCTACAGGGAAATTCCATCTTATCTGTGACGCTGAAGGGCAGCTGCATGGAAAAAATATTTCATCGTTTTGACACTTGCTGATTATTTCATCTGCTAAAAAGCATGTTTTACATCTTAATAGAAGGCTCACCCTAGTCTATGCATTCCTGTTTCCTTTTTAAGTCACTTCCAGGGAATACCTGGTCCATTTATTTTGTCAAAGTAGGGTACACCATTTGGGCAGACTACCTTAATAACTCAGCTGTGTTGCTAGAGTTAGCTCATCGATAGATGAAAGGAGCAAATTCAAGCTTGACTTCATCCATTTGTTTAAGCATCCTCAAAGTATACATCTGGAAAGTTTTTTGGCTTGCTAGTCACATGCATTTCCTACAAGTTTCTGCATACTCATCTGTTTAGTAGGCCTTATTCAGCTAGAGAAAATATAAAACATGTTTAACCATAATCCCACTTTTTAAACAAATGTTTCTATTTTGAGATGGGTAAGATTTGACATGGTTAATTTTGTCTAAATTGATGATTTAAAAAAAAAAAATCTAAAGTCTCCCTGGAGCCTTCTCTTCTCCAGGCTGAACAACCCCAACTCTCTCAGCCCATCTTTGTAGGAGAGGTGCTCCAGCCCTCGGATCATCTTCGTGGCCTACTCTGGACTCTCTCCAACTGGTCCATGTCCTTACTTATTTTCATACTTGGATATTTTCCATCTGCCCACATGCTCTTTCTTTTGTTTCCCATTTACTCTTCCCCCGTGCTGCCCCCCCCCCATTCTCTTGTTATCGCTAACTTACTTTCCTGAGTTGTAAGATTATGCTTCTGCAGTGACCATTAATAGGCCATTGGGGACCTCTGGCATACAGTACCTGTGTCTGTACCCTTCCACACCACACTTTATTCTAGTGACACACAGTTCAAGCCACACAGAGTAACTGCTTGTTATTAATAGAAACTATAGTGAAACTAAAGCAACTTTAGGCCTGACTTGTTACTTCACTACCAGACAATTGTTGTCACAGGTAAAACAAACTAAGATCAGCTCAGGCCAAGACAAGTCAAGAGAAGTTCTGAGATTCTGCACTGTCAGGTCAATCCAAAGTTTCATGCCTTCTGGTAATGGAAAAATCCTATTTATTGTGCTACATTCTTGTACTGAGATAAGAAGAGGCACTCCCTGTACCATCAGAACCCAGAGCGATGCTATAGCGTCAGCTTTGGTGAACCAACATTTTTGGTACTGCCAAAGCTAACACCAGTTATTGCAGCAGTACGCTACCCAACGTGTGCGTTCATCTTCTCTGAACAGAATCCTTGTGCTCACTACAAGTGTGTAGGAAGTATGAACTGGAAGCTTGATTCAAACCAACAGCAATTTGTTTTCTAAAACAACTGTTTGGTAAAAAATCACAGACTACTTTAGGTTGAGGGGACCTCTGAAGGTCATCTGGACCAGTTACCCACTCATACCAGTGCCACCCTCAAAGTTAACGCAACTTTGAAGCAAGTCAAATGGCTCAGTCATACCCGTTCAAGTTTTGTGTATCTGTGAGGCTGGAAGCCTTCCCGGGCCATTGCATAGCTAGAAAATAAACCACATGGTCTTGCAGTGTCATTTCAGAAACCATTTTCCTCATGTCAGGTCTTACATAAATTTCTGATGAGCTTTATTGGACTTTAACTTCAGTTGTATTACTCAGCTTGTCATCTTCCTCCCTAAGTAACATTGGCTCACAAAAAAGAAAGCAATTTTTAATGCTATGCATATATTAAAACATCTGTTCGTTGTTTCAGCACCTTTTTGAATATGGCTTTTAATGGACTTTTTTTTTTCTTCCATGAATTTTTATAGTTGGACAGGATTTTTCATTTGTTAGCACAGAATAATGAAGTTTTAATGTGTCTAATTTTCCAGTGTGATCTGAATTGTTAGACTGTACCATAAAGCGCGTATAAATACTACGATATAATTCTCTTGCTTCAGTGTGTTGAGTTAGTGATGTCTTGTATTTTAAAAATATGGTCATATTGTCGCCTGCAGTTCAGAAATGCATTGGTTTTGCAGAGTGTCCCACAGCTGCGGGTATCTGAAACAATGAGTAGGATGGGTTAAGTTTTTGTCTTACACTTTCAGAACCCTTGTTGAAGGGTTTTCCTTTTCCTCCCCTGTCCTTTTTGATTTAAGCAAATCCTTAAACCTTTCTCTAATAGAAGATAATATTAAAGGCTTCTTACATGTTCACCTAAACACCTGCATTTGAACACAATATATAACTGTCACCTTTGTTATTTTTCTAAATCTTTCCAAATTAAGAACAAGCATTTAGTCTTTGAGGTACATTCACATAGCTAATTGTGAGCACCTTTTTTTCCTCAAATGGATCTTCCCTGTTGCTGAAGTTTTGGTTCAGGAAAGCCCTTATTCTTGAGGATGATAGGATTGATTGATGGATCACTGTTTCTTCCAGTGATGGAATCCTCCTTTGTTATGGTACAATATAAGAGTTTCTCATCCCTTTACGGCATTTAGTAAATGGGATGAACTGTCAGAGAACTGTCAAGAGAACATCTCTGCTAATGTTCAGATCTTCACTCAAGAGCAATTATGTCATGCAGATCATCTTCAGGATAAACTCAATTTCTGTAGACATTTTCCTGTTCCTAAAGAAATCTATGGTTTTGTTTTTCTTGTGTGGACTTTATGATGTACTCTGAGAGAATGGTTTTAAATTCTAGTATTCAAGAGAGTCAGCAGCTCAGTATTTTCTTTTGCAGATGCACTGCTGTTGTGCTGACAGCACAGAGGATACATGTCTTTCATTTCTAAATTACTTAGGCAAACCCAGCAAGCTGCGGCAAAGAATTTCTGGTATTGCAGCAATTTTGAAAGTCTAGTAATAAAAGCAAACAGGAAGAATATACGTATGTGCTTAAACTGTGTATCGGTAAGGAGCAAATAGCCTATAATTATGTCAGAGTTTAGGAGTTCAGGGATGGCCCTGCCATTTTATAATCTAATGTTTCAATTTTTTCATTTAGCTTTAAATTGGAATTTTCAGAGCCAATAATTCTTGCTTGGGAAGCAATTAAAGTCAAGTAATTTTTTACATAGGTATTACTGGTAGCTTTGTTTTAGCTATTTTTGTTGACGAACTTAGTGATATAGAGCAAATGGGAAGGATGATCTTATGGTTATAATGTTGTGGCACACACATGATCCAGCTACGATAGTTCTGCTATGTATTTTTAGATGGTTATCTGTTCTCTCTGTGTCCTGAGATTACATTTGTAAAATGGGAAGGCACTTTTTCCTTCTAATTTTGTGAGTCTTGTCTCTACCGTATCCTCTTCAAGTCAGTGCCTAGGACGGTGTGGTCCTTACCTCAGCAGGGATCTGTAAGCATAAGTGCGTAATGACTGGCATTGCTTTATTCTGTAGTGTGCCTTGTAAAGAAATGCTTTATTCAGACTTGTTGGATACAACAGTAGGCACCTCAGATTACATATCTAAGAATGATAATTACTTAAAGCTAAAAAGTCCCATCCATCTTTCCCCTAGCTCACTTAAGCAGGGAAACAACTAAATATAATATTCTCCTGGCAGACAGATACTCTTCAATTGCCTCGCTCAAGCTGATAATCACTTCTTTTGGTCCAGCTGCTAAGCAGATTTGAGATGTTGCTTCCATTTTAAAATAATTAGATTCAGTTAAGTGATGGGTTTCCCCCATATAGGAGTACTTTTGGAATCCTTCTCTACTAGGTTGTTTCAGTAACTCTCATACATTTATCATATTGAATGCCATCTCATGCCAAAGTAGTGATTTATTCAGTCATGCACAGCTCATAAAATACTCTATGAATACTTGGTGCTAGGGGAAATACACCCAGAAATAATCTTGGGTTTGGGTGGGAGATGCTGGTGGAAGAACAGTTTGTTTTCACTAGCTTTTCAAAAACTATGTGTAAAATAATTCTGGAGGAGCTCAGAACATGTTTGTAATGAGTTTGTGCAGCTTGGGAGATATGGAAAAGCAATGTTTTCTGTGTGACCCAAAATACAGGCTTCTGAATGGAAACTTTTCATTAATTTTTTTCCTATGTTCTTTCAGCATTTTATGACACCAGTTTTGGTTTTGTCTCTTAAGAGAAAGGAAGATTGCAATCAAATTCTGTGTTATACTGTTTTTTTCTTTTTAAATAGCTTTATTGGACACTCACTGGGTAATTTAATAATCCGTTCAGTGCTCACAAGACCTCGATTTAAGTATTACCTCAACAAACTTCATACCTTCCTGTCTCTGTCTGGACCACATCTTGGTACCCTCTACAACAGCAGTGCTCTTGTTAATACAGGTAAAGTGTTATTTTCAGTAGTATAAGTTATGGGGAGATTTTGTCTTTGAAGTGCACTTAGCACTTTCATGTGGGGTACACATTTCTGCATTACTTTGGTTATGAGAAAGTGCCCATTTCACTCTCAGAGAGAAGGGTTATAAAAATAAAGTATCAATAGAAGGATGTTCAAGAGATGGTTGACGTAAGCGTTTTCCAGTATGTTTGATTCAGGTTTTCTCTTACACTATAAATGAACTCCAGTTTTAATGTTTTAGGCTCAATTTATTATAAACTGAATTTTAATATACTTAATCTGCAAAACAAGTAGGTAAGAGGCATTAAAATAATTCTGAACTACTAGTGTTGTCTTTCCTCTCTCAAAAATGTCTTACAGCCTGCAGTGTGTTTCTGCAGAGGTAGTTGTACCCAATGAATGTCTGTTTTTCTAAAGATTAAATGTAGCTCTAGGAGAACTTGTAGAAACTGCTGACTTTTGAAATAAATGTTAGAAAGTATTTTCAGGTAGCATCAAGTTTTTAAATGAAAACTTGTTTCTGAGATTACCACCTACCTTGGAGAACCCAAACCCAAAATGAGCAATGCTGTTTTTCACTAAATAGAAATATGCTCATGAAGCCCTTTAAAAACACTCTAAAAATTATGAATTATTTTGTTTACTGCCAGTTTGTTTATAGATCGTTTTATTATTTTCTTTCTTACAAAAATGAGAAGGAAAAAAGTTAACTCGTGTTGAGCTTAAGAGAAGCGGCCAGGAATTGGTGGCAAACTGGAGTTACTGTTGGGGTTTATAGAAGCAGGGGCAACACGAGAGCTCTTTGAATTGGGTTGCAGTGGTACCGTTTGTAGCCCTCAATACACTACCAGTGAGGTTCACTTCAGGATTAAGACAGCTGCAGTGTAATTCACTATGGGCACCTACTGGGCATTTAACCATTTAGAAATTGTAGTTTTCCAGGATACAAAGAGGCAAGGCTGTTTGCTTGTTTATATAATCACCAGCAAATGACACTCAGTTAACTAAGGTTAAAGTTATCAAAGTGTAATCCAGAATATAGTCACTGAAAAAATAAGGATTTCTGGAATATTTAATCTCTTTGATAGCTGAAGACTGTACAAAATGTCCTTTTCATATAATAGTCTTCCTCTACATTTCAGACTCTTTTAAGATTTTCGAAAATATGGAAATAAGAATAAGTAATGGGTACTGAAGTCTAAATGCCTGTCCTGTATGTATACAGTAATAACTGCCAATAAATTGCTATGTAAATGATAACTATTTCTCTCAGAGTTGAATCAACACATAAAGATGTTCTTGAGGCTATAAGGGCTTGGTTGCTTGCTTTTCTTTTGCTTGGTGAGGGAGGTAAGATTTTTTCTGAAAAGCCAGTTAGCCAGCTGGCTCATTGATTAATAAAGAGGGTACAGCATCATAGAAAATGTTATGCTATGGTATTTCTCCGAGAAAATTCTGCTTCCTTTTTTCAAGTTACATTTAATGAATTCGGTGGTTCTATAAAGTTCTTTTCAGAAATCTGAGAAGTAATGGTTATTGTTTAGTGCTACTTATTTGAGCACTAAAATGTTCTAATATTCTGAAAATTATTGAAATGGAGTTTGTATATTGCTTTATGGCTAACATATTCATGCATTTTCTCTTTTTGCACGTATAGTTATTTTTTGTAGGCAGGCATGTACGTTAGTGGAAATAATGGCTTTTATACTTTATTATACGTATAGACAGGAAACAATAATGAACAAAAATGTAAAATGTTTCTGGGCTTGACAATGCTGACGTGAAAAATAAAATTAACATCTGAGAGGCTAAATGTATGGACTTACGTATTTTACTTACGTTTAATTAGTTTTCATATTTTATTGTGGATCTATACTCATGTTGTACCTAACAATGCAGGACTGTGGTTTATGCAGAAATGGAAGAAGTCTGGTTCTTTATTGCAATTGACGTGTCGAGACCATTCGGATCCACGACAAACATTCTTGTACAAACTTAGTAAAAAAGCAGGTAAGCTTTGTTAATACTTATCATCTTTTAAAGGCCACTGTATATAAATGTGAATAGGAGACATTAAAAAAAAAAAAATTTCCAACAAGCCCCTGGTTGAGCTCATTTAAGAGTTACTTTGGCTTTAGTCCTGTATTCTTCAAGTAAAGTAAACAGTAAACGAGTTTTGTTGCAGAGGTGGACTGTTACTCTGAGACTTTCCTTCCTAACTAATGAGCAGAAGTTCTGAGTGCAGTCACTATACTGATAGATAGATTGGTCTCAGCTCCCTCCTGAGCCACTGAAAGCTAGTGATTTCAGTGGGATGAGTCAAGTACGTACACATTTGTTTAGGATTACCTGTTTCTGTATGTCTTATCTATTCTATAAATGTAAAATTCTGCTTTAAAGTTCTTGTTAACTAATCTTTTATTACGTCATTAAGATGGTCAGGGAAAACAAAAACTCATTTTGGTAAAGGAAGGAGAAGTTGTACTTAGTATAATAGCTAAAAACCAGATTAGATTATTCATATGATATCATCAATACAATTTTCTGTGGTTTGAATATTCTTACTTCACCTGTTGGCTGAGAGGCAGTTTTGCTGGTGCATAATGTGCCAGTTGAGGGGTAGTTTCCTTTAAGCAGTATAACATTATTGAGGATTCATCTGATCCGTATTTCTAAGTGTGTGTCAGCCAAGCAGTTGTGGAGCCAGAGATGCTTACGGTGTTTTGTGAAAAATCCAGGCACATTTCTTTGTTAAAATATTTGTAGGTTGTCACAGCTGAAATTTTTTTGAGAGCAAAGCAGTACAAAGATACAGGCAGGAAAAGACGAACATCTTGAGATGTCCAAATATAAAACTTACGGGACTTGCAAGAGGTAGAAAAGAATAAGGAGCAAGAAGAAAAACCATGGACAAGATAGGAATGTGGATCAAAAACTGATTTTAGATCAAAATCTACAATCACAAAGTAATTTTGTTGCTGATAAGGTAATATTTAAGGCTGAACTGGTATTTAAAGGTGAACTGTGAAGTTAAAAATTCTTGGAACAACTGGACCACCATCAACTGAAGTGCTCTCAATCTAACTTTGCAGTCTTTTGAAAATAAATGTTTGATCCTAAACAGAAGTTAGGAGCTTCTGAGAAGTTACAGAGTGAATGCTGGGTAAGACCCTGGGACCTGTGTAATAGAGATAGATTAATTAATCACTTGGCTTTAAAAAATTTGGTATTCCTTGGTTTTATGTGTGTATATCTCAACATGACTAGAGATGCTGTTATTTGAGTATTGTTTTCTATTCTAGAAATGTGACATAATTTCTTATGACAGACCTCTATATGACAGGCTTTTGAAAGACTTGGATAGCATTGTCTAAAGAGTCACAACATGCATTTCAGACTTTGCTCCTCATAAACTGTAGAAGGAGCCTAGAAGTCTTAGGGCTCTGTTTCTTCTTTCTGCCTTTTTACTGAAGAGATAGAAGGAGCTGTGTCTCGGGCCACAGCCTCATGCACCACCTTGTTTCCAGGTCCTGAAGTGAGCCTGGTGTGAGGGAGGAGGAAAGGTTGGGGGAGAAAGAGAAAAAGATGTGAAAGTTTGATAATTTTATTTAAGGAAAAAAGAAAGCAAGCTTTACACTTCCCTAAAAGAGAAGGAAGAAGGTTTTCCTTTGAGGCATTAGTTAATATACTGTATGTACACTGTAGGTGTTGATGTCTTTAACTCTTGCTATCTGTACAAATCTCTTTGTTCATTCAGTGGGCATGCTTGACACTCAAACACCAGATGAGAGGAGTTTGGGATTCCCCTAACTGTACAGTTTCTCTTTTTCAGATTTTCAATCCAGAAAATTTGCATACTCTTCTCTATAGGGATTCTAAACATAGGTGTTTCCAGAAATCACTTTACTCCAGGCTATGTGCAAAGGATTGACAACACCGTTGAGAAGTATCGTCCTGATTTTGCAGCTTCTATTGGTTTTTGTAATCCTATAGGAAAACAAGAGTCTTAAGATGCAGCAACATCTGTTGCTGCTTAACTTGGTGTCTTCTTCAGATTTTGGCTTTGCAGCTGGGAAAATCCCCGAGGCAGCAAAACTTGGTGCTGTTTCTGCTCTGCTGTGGTCTAGCTGGTTTCCAGATCATCCCTAAATGTCACCTGTGGATACAGCGGGTGATGTTTTGAGGGTCTAGGTCTCAGCCACATTGTTGTATGGTGGTCTGTGGCTCTAGTTCTCAAATTTGGCAGAGAACATAGCTGTTAAGCGCATCACCTTGTTGCTTAACCCCAAAATGGATGAAATTCCTACTTTCTGTCGATTGTTGAAGGTGAAAGTACAGTTGAGCATCTCCTCTTCCACCCTTTAAAAGAAGCTCCAGTCAATACTGAGACCTAGTGCCTTCCAGAAACAAGAGATTTTTGCTCATATCTGTTCTCTGTTCTGAATCCTGGAGCAGGGCCAGTTAACGCCAGAAATCTTGCAATCATGAACACATTTCTGATAACTCCTTTTCAGTGCTGCTTCTGTCACAACACCACATCTAAGAGGATCTGTAGCAAACATTTCTATTGGTCTTGCTTTTTCCTCCAAGTTTGGGGCCAGGTTGGGCTTCGTGGCTGGATGTCACCTTAGGCTGTTGAATCTCATAGTCAAAAGCAGCACCAGTTAGCTTCTCTGCTGCTCCCAAAATTTTTGGACTCTTTCTCTTCCCAGAGATCTCTCTCAAAAGAATCTGGTCTGGAAGGATCTTTAATACTTTAATGCTGAGGGCTTACAAAATACTCTATCAGGAGAAGCAGGTGTTGTATGTGACACTGCAGAAGGATGAATTGTGAGTCTTCTGAGCATATGCAAAATTCTTAACTAACAATAGTTTAAGACTTTAAAAGAACGTTTGCAACTAAAAAATTAAACTGAAAAATGATAAATATGTCATGACTAAATCTCTCCCATCTAAATGATGCAACTCTTCCTTTGTACAGTGTAAGTCAGTCTGTCATTACCTGCTGAAGGAATAGTCACCCAGAACTTGCTCTTTTCAGTTTAAGTTCTCTATCTCAGTTTTCCTGTACTGTGAAAATCTTTTGGTAGGAAATTTTTTTTTAAGCAGCCAATAAGAAGTTCCTAACAGTTACAGTTGTTACAGTGCTGCTATTTGTGTATTGTAGTTCATCCTTTGATAGGAGTGAACAATAATTATCCAGTTCTGAGATAAAAGCTGGAAGTGTGACATGTATATGGTACTCAAGCAGTAGATGCTTATTATCATTAGTCATGATCTGATTATTTTTTCTTTATTTGTTTTAAAAATAACTGGTACCAACTCAAGTCTGTTATTTGACAGAAAACTTGGTGTAAATTGGTTAACGTGTTACGTTGTACCTGGTAAATATAACTATATACTGGAACAGTGATTCATCTAAGTGTCAAAGCTTGCGTTACAAAGTTGTTGTCATTAATGTTGTTAGTATCCTTAAATTAAAAGGGATGCATTCACCGCAACATAGGTATCTCTGATTTAGAATGGGTTCATTGGATTGGTCTTTCAGAAGTATATCCAGGTTAGAGTTGTGTGTGCAGAATTTCCTCAGATCTAGTATTGGAGATACACTTAGCTCTCATTTAGCAAGCGAACTCTGGCAACATTTCAGTTTCATTTTCAATTAATTTGTCAAGGCAGAATGACAGATAACTTATTTTAACAATTCTCTGTATCTCTTTCTGGTGTATAAATAGGAATTGATTCTTAAAATTGTAAATGCCTTTTGAAATGATTGATTCAATAAATTACAACAAATGACAAGTGATAATGACAGCTAACTAAGTATCTGCTTTCCTAAGTCTCTGGTTTTCTGTAGCATTATATGCTGTTTTCTGTCCTAGTTATGAATTGGTGGCTCACTGGTGGGAGTGCTTTCTGCAACAAACTTCGGACCTGCAAGTTTTTCTACCTCTGCTTTTGTTCTGAACTCTTTTTAAGTCCCATTTCTCAGCTGTAGAGTATGCCCACATTAGCACTCGGGAATGCTTTCAGAAGCAGATCTCTTCCTGATCCCTGTTTACTTCAGAACACAATGACTGAGGTTTAGCAGCCAGCACGTGTTGCACCCGCAGGACCAGACTAGAGCTAGTCCAAAGTAAACTCTCCTGAAAACGGGCATTATGATGGATGAGGGATTCTTAATACCAACGGCTTTGCTCTACAGTTCTGTTTGTGCCACAGAGTTCACAAATGTGAATGTACAGCAGTAGTCTCTTCCAGGATGTTTTTGTACTTACGTAGGTAGGCTTTGATTTCTATGTCTCAGTACTTCCACAGGTCTTGATTAGCGGAATTCTGGTGTGCTTGTTTATTGCTTTATCTCCCCCTTTAAACATGGGCATTTTCCTAATCTCTGAAAGGAGGAAAAGCTGTTTGTTTTGGTTTTCATTTACGTCCATGTTAACAACAAATCAGCAGTGAGTAAGCATGGTTGACATGTTTTCTTCTCTGAGATGTCTGTTATGTGCAGGATGTCAGCTTAGCTTACTTGGTGCTCTTTGGCTTTGTGGAGGGAAAAAGCATTTCCGCTCTTGCCTTGAGGGCATGCCTGTTCATAACTCGTGATGAGGATGAGACTAGAGTTGAAGTGGCATCCCTATTGGTAGCGTGGCACAGAGACTAATCTAATCAGTTCAATAAGAGGACGGACTTCCCAGCCCTCCATAGCTCTGTTCCAACAATGTTGGAAGACTCTGGTAGTTTTATAGCATCTGGAGCAAGTTGTTGAAAGTAAAATCTTCAAGGCAGAGTTTGAGCTGACATTGAAACTCTTGAGTTAATGTAAATCTAGCTCCCTAGTCAGTCTTCTTGTGGGACTGCAGCTGAAAGTCTGAGCTTCCTTGCATCTGTATCGTGGCATCTTAATCCGAGACCTCAGTTGACTCAGGATCTTAAAGCTTGATTTTTTTGGGGTGTGATTCTAGCTGTGTGTGATGCGTTAACTTCACAAAGCAGTGTGGAAGACTACCTGCAGGAGAGGGCTGCCTTCCAGGGCATAGTTTTTGAAGTCCCTATTTCCAGACTGTGTTTACGGCAAAGCTTCCAGATCCCTGTTTCCAAGCAAGTATGTAAATGGACAGAGTCATAGAAGACGTTGGGAGTATTGTACCTGGACGAAACTGAGATGTTTCCTTCAAATCAAAGCAACCAGGTGTGACCCTGAGCTATCTGATCTAACATCAAAGTTGGCCCTGCTTTGAGCAAGTGGGTAGGATCAGATGATCTCCAAAGGTGCCTTCCAACATAAATTACTGTATTCTAGGATTCTGTGATTAGTCTGTTGCTAAGGAGAATGGCAGCTTACTGATGGAATCAGATTGTTGTACTTTTATTTTTAAGCTTATTTTTTTAAGCTTATCGTAAGTGATTTTGATGCGATTATGCTTAAGAACTCTGTGCTATCAACAGTGTATACTGTCCATTGCAAATAATTGAAGCCTTGTTTTGAATTAGTTAAAGGGCGGCGGTATGGAATTTTGTCATCCTTTTTGTCATACAAGACCTAGGGAATATCAGCACCCCATTGTAGCAGTGGCTCCTTCTCTCCTTCCCTATTTGGATGTTGGCTATAGCTAGAGGATGGACTTAACATCTGATTCTGGTGCCTGAACATATATAAAAATTTGTCCCTCTGTGATTGCAGTTAGTTAGGAGTTACCAGGTCTCTATACCTGCTGTTCCAGGCAGATTTTTCCACTTGACAAATTATTTGGAAAAATTGGCCATGAATTTATGGATATCGTTAATTCAATAATGACTACCGCTGTTATGCAGAATTCACTCATGGACATGAATAGCACGATCGTTAAGCGATAGAAATTGTGCTCTCTGTGTATGCTTAAATTCCCTTGGACTGAGACTGAAGTTCCATAAGGTGATAAGGATCATCATAAAAATTTGCAAAGCCCATTAAAGGTTCATTACTACAGGAAAGAATGTTCTCTTTATGTGGGACAAAGCTTGTTATTTCAGCAGTGATCTTTCACTTGGATTGGTCTTTTCCAAGCTGTCTCAAATCCTGTTGAAAAATTTAGTCAATACTTTCTAGTTAGTGACAAGCTCAGTGTTTTTTATACTACTCTGCAAAAACCTGTGATCTATTCAGTAGATTATATGATGCGATCAGTTCAAATGTATTTTGTTCTGATAGAATTAGGTTTTAATCTTCCAGCATTTTTGGCTAACTACAACAATCTGGAAATGCTGGCCTAATTAGATTTTGGGGTTGGTTTCTTAACTCAGCAGCTGAAAATTTTGCTGTGCAAGAAAAAATGGTTCATTAATTACTTAGAATAATTTTAAATTTGGGATTTTTTTTTAATTACTTACCATATGCGTGACAGATCTTGTATTATGTGTGGTGTGGGAAAATAAAGATGTGGATCATAGGAATTAACTGAGCTGTATTCTTGTTCACAATTTATTCCTGCATTTTTAATTTAATTAAAGGTGGAATATATTTAAAGTCTAGGAAGAAAGTGAAAGAACAACACGTAAAGATAACTGGTGGGCCAGTTTTTACTGCTACATAAATGGAAGACTGTGATAAGTTGCTTCTTGTCCACAAGTATACTTAATTTAGGCACAGTTTGGCATTGCACACTTCTGTATCAGAGATCATTCCGTGCCTATGTCCTGAGTAGTCCCATAGCCTGTCTGGAGAGCAGAAGGGATGCTGTTGAACACCGTGCCGTTCCTTCTCCTAAACAAATGGTTTGAGTTATCTCGTGTTGTAGAAATCCAAGGGGTTGCTTGAAACTGTACATTTATGTGTACCATTTTGACTCCTCTCTTTCCCATCCATAGAGTCATATGTGGTCTGTGTATATCATGTGAACCGTGTTAGAATAAACAACTTCAAGAATAAGACTTGGACTTTTTTCTTCAAAATAGGCACAAAGAGCTGTCCAAAGAAAAACCACCCAAGAATAGTTAAACAATAAAACTCATGCTTAGGAAATACCCTACATGCCTTCTTTGCTCCTACTGAAGAATTCCCTCAAACGCTTTTTCGTAATGAAAGATTCCTGATATTTCTCATGCCCATGAAGGGAAGCCCCAGACATTATTTTTATGAACCAGAATATAAAGCAGAAAAATGAGTCACTGTGACCAAAAGGGGATACCTAATTTACTAGACTGTGATGTCCTAAGCCTGGGGTTTTTTGTTGGGGTTTTGTTTGTTTGTTTGTATTGTATCGCATGTGAGGATGAAGGGAGTCTATTTAAATGTTGATTGATGTAGACTGATGTTCCTCTAAGGATTCCCCAGGATATCTCTTCCTTCTTCAGGTTGATTAAAAGATCTAGGCAGTCCACTTAGAATCATAGAATAGTTTGGGTTGGAAGGGACCTTTAAAGGTTACCTAGTCTTTGTATCTTTGACAGAAATGCTAATGGATATTTTTCTAGGGAAAGCACTTATCAAAAAAAATTAACACCAATAGATAGACTCCCAAGGAATTTGTGAAACTATTACAGGTTAGCCTGCAGAGAATTCCTATCCCTGATTTATTCCCAATACATTCTTTTCAGCTCAGCACAAAGTTTTGGAACTGGCGTCTGCATCTTTGTATAAGATTTGCTGCAGTCATTTTTCATCAGATGTCAAATAAAAGACTCCAGTGATTTAGCTGATCTTTTGAGACAGCATTGTTTTTCAGTGGGCACAGGCAAAAAAAAAAAAAAAAAAAACCCACAAACCCAAACAGATTTCCTATTTGAAGACAACTGGAACCAGGATTTAGTTTGGATGCATTTTCTGTATGTTTTTATAGATTTACAGATTTATTTATTTATTTTCTGTGAAATCTGGGAAGATAAATTTACTTTTTCACATGCTAAAGTTGTTCAGCATTGTTTCTGTAACTGAGTTGGTTTGGAGATGTAGTCTTCATCACATGGAGTGTACAAAATATTGAAAATTAGGAAGCAGCCTCTGAAAAAAAGAGAGATTTTTCACTCTGGGCTCCATTGACGGCTTTAGGAACAGATATGTATTAATACTTGGTATATGTGCAGTCTGAAGAAAAAGGGGAAACTAGAATCCAGAACTTTGTCCTGGAAGTATAGCTTCTGAAAAGCAGATAGCAAATAATTTCTTTTTCCTACACAGTCAGATCTCTTTTCTTAATGAAAGAAAAGTTTGATTTGTGGAGGTTGACGCAGAAAATGTTTGCTGCAGATTCCAAGAAGCACCTTTGAAGAATGACTTTATTTGCGGTATTTCTATAATTCTCAGAATAGACCAAGTAAATCTTGTAAATTAAAAACTAACAGTTCCAGGTTCTGACCATTATCCGCTGTAAATTAAGTCAGGCTAGTGGCACCAGTGCAAAACTCATTAGCACCAGTGCAAGTAGAATTGGATCGAATCTACCAGTGATAAGATGTAAGCATCTAACCTCTAGGAGATTCCCCGAGAGCCATTCAGGCTGCTTTTCAGTATAGCTTACCTTTACATACGTCTAAATGCTTTGAGCATTTTCTGGTTTTGCCTAAGAGTTGCCTTTGTATTCAGCTGTCGATGGCTATGATATGCAGAAGGGGCTGTTCTAGGGCAAAGGCAACCCATTTTCCTAAAGGGCTCTGTTGTATTTGGCCTAAAGCAGGTGCTGGTGCTTTAGGTTTGACAGCACCAGAAATCTGCTGAAGCTTTTTAGAAAAAACATAACAATTAAATACCTTAAGGACTGTAACTCCATCGTCACTGGGGGTTTCTACACTTGCATCATCTTACTATTAGAGTGCTTGTCCAAGAAGTAGGAAGTCTGGGATTAATTACAAAGGTTTAATTATATTTGAGGAGCTGTTGGATGGACTTCGCACCTGTGGTCGAGCTGGCCAAACCTTCCAGTGAGGCAGTGCCTGATGGAGGCACCCAGACTAGGTGGGCTATGTCATGTACTTGGTGGTGCTCAGCATTAATCCCAATGCAGCTATGCCGTTGACTGAAACATGAGTGAAGACAAGGCACCATCCGTCATTAGGTTTCTTTAAGCAATACGAAGGCTTTACACCCTTCTGTCAGCCAGAAACCGACCACTTTATTCCTAAGAAGCAAGACAAAGGGTTGAACCAGACTCTGTTTAAATGGGAAACATCACGATTAGGTCACGCCATATGTATTAAAATATGTACAGAGGAAAGGCCGGTACCCAATGTCTCATTATTCTGTATCGCTACCTATTATCATTGATTTTTCTGCCTTTTTGTGCAAGATCTGGTAATAAATTGGTGCCAAATTTCAGTTGTAAAACATTTATTTATTCTGTGACGATTGTCAAGGGATTCATTATAATAGATACCTTTTTCTCTTTTCCTGTAGGTCTTCATTACTTCAAAAACATTGTGTTAGTAGGATCTCTGCAGGATCGTTACGTTCCCTATCACTCCGCTCGCATTGAGATGTGTAAAACAGCTTTAAAGGATAAACAATCAGGTAATAAATATCCTGCAAAATAAACAGACCACTTGGGTTAAACCTTATAGGTCTCGGATTCATCCCATTTAATTTTGGGTGCTTAACTGAGGCACTTCTATTGTGCATTTAGACACTCTGGGCTTACTTTGTAATAATGGAGAGAGAAAATCCATCTAGGAGCTGAATTGCTTTCTGGATCTGTCCTGTTCTGTTATGTGCAGAAGGAGATGAGGCTGAATAAATTGCTAGCTTACAGACTTTGCTGAAAGTTAGGTGGGATGAACGCAGCCGCTGAGGTGTTACTCCATGAACAGGGAGGACAAACAGCTTTGATTTTTGAGGACAAGTTGTAGCATTGAGCACATGGGCTGTATTTAGTTGAGGCTGAATACAAGCACTGAAAGAAAAGGTCATTTTCCCATTTTCAGTGATGGCTGGTTGGTGTATTTACTGTTGAGACATCCTAGCACAATTGCATTCCAGCATTATATATTGACAAAGAAATACCTTTTACATAGTGTAATAAATTAATACTGATGAGCACATTCTGACTATAAATGTACAAATACTAAAATGCATAGCTTAAAGTTATTTTTCCAACCATTCTGGGGAAATTAAACTTCTTAACAGAACAGCAGCATAACACATACCATCAGCTCTCTTACTCTGGAATGTACTAATTTTGAGTTCAAGGTCAACGAACTGTCTTCGTTTCTGGTGATTCACACAGTACAACTTTTCTTTTCATCTGCAGGACCAATTTATGCTGAGATGATCCAGAACCTGCTTCTGCCAGTTCTTCAAAATAAGGAATGTAATTTGGTTCGTTATAATGTAATTAATGCATTACCCAATACAGCAGATTCTCTCATAGGGAGAGCTGCACACATTGCTGTTCTTGATTCAGAAATATTTTTAGAAAAATTCTTTCTTGTTGCTGCCCTAAAATATTTTCAGTAGAGAAGAGCATTGTAAGAGACTTGGTTATTACCTCATTAACAGATGAATCAAATAATGTGTGGTATTAAAGTATAGCTGCAGCTGTATTTTAAGAGATATTTATACTTTTTATATGGAAGATAATTTATATCATCCACACTTAGGGCTTTTTAACATCAACTTTACTTTCTAGGTAATGTGGCTGTGCAATATTTTTTTTTATTTTGTTCTTTTTACTTTTCTATTACTTTTTCTTAATTTTGGGTACCTAATTATTTGGAGATTAAAGCACAGTGCGTACTTTTGGTTGGTTTATTATTGGCTCTTAGACTACAGAAGTCAATGTTACTTGGCTACATTTTACAAGAGGCTTTAGATGCCAAAATAAATTGGGTTTTAAAATTCTAATAAGGTCTTACACATTCAGTTGTTGTATTTTAGCACTGTAGGAAGTTTAACTGGAAACACAACGAGCTGCTAAAATACTGGATATTTGAAAATTACTATATCTGTGGGTCTCGCAAAGGCTGTTACAGAGTTGTCTTCAGATATCACTACAGCTTCACAGTTTTCTATCATCATTGTGAAATATGTTATGCCTGTGGGAATATATTTTCTACTGATCTCAAAACCACGTTAGTTTACATACTCAATTTTATTACTGGAACTTCAGTTTTCAGAAGCAAATGGCAACTAAGGATTTTTGAATGTTTAATGATAGCTGCCTTCAAATAATTGGGGTTTTAGCAAACTGTATTAAAATTGCTCCTTACTCTGTCAGTTTGTCAGATGAACATGGACAGTTTTACATGAACTTCCTTGTATGTACGTAAAATAAGTAAATGTTATAAATTTCTGCAATACTTTTATGAATTTAAGCAATTTTTAAATATTGTTAAAATGTTTTATTGACTACAAAGTATTGTAAATATAAATCGATACATCTTCAAATGGGACAATATTGTAAACTTTACCTGTTTAGTGATACAGATAAAATGTTTTTGATATACAGGAATGTTAAAGGTCTATTGACTTTCTACTGGTGCTGAATAGCATTAAGTTTGGTTTCTCCTTCCTTCCCTTTCCTTCAAACAATAATTCACTAAAGGTGGGGGGAAAAGAGTTACATGTGCATTCACTAATTGTAATGAACATTTTTTTGAAAAATATAAATTTGTTGTATAATGCATGTTTATTTTTAGCATTGTGTTATTGCATCTGGTGTTAATAAAATGAACAAATGACTCTCATGGAAGCAATTAAAGAAACTGAAATGTTCTGCTAATTACCAAAATTCTGGGGAGGCTTTTTTGTATATAATTAATAATTTGCATTATTTGAAATGAGTATAGCAATAATAGTTTATAATGAAGTGATTTTGCATTTGATATGGTTTGTTGTATAATACAGTCTTTGTAATGTGTATTTTTTTTTTCTATAGCTTACAAGATGCTCAAATAAGCATCTACAGTTTGGCAATGTACACACTTAAAAGTATTTTATTAGAGTTGTGTTAGGCAAGTCCAGACACAAAGATACTTTAAATACATTCCAACTATAACAACGTCTACTTTTATTAATAATTTTTTATTATGATGGTGCTACTAAGTTCTAAATATTTAAGTTATGTTCTGACATCTCAACTGTCTTTTCTTTAACAGTATTATAGTAGTTGGCTAGTGGCTAAATTTTGAATATCGGTTTAGGGAGCTAGATCTACAAACCTTCCCTTGATTCACAATAAGGCAGTTAAAACTACTCTTAGAACACAAGTATTTAAGTGTTTAGGTCACTATTGAAAAATGTCTGTCTTGCTGCATCTCTCTGGAAATCCAGAAGTGTAAAGCATGCTTTTTGTGATTAGCAAAGCAGAAATATCCTGGCAGAAATAACCACTTTTTTTAATAGTAGATCCCATCCATTTAAGGAGGCTTGAATTTGGTTTGTTACTTGAGGAAAATGGTGCAGGAAATCATGTGATAATTTGCATGCAAGTTTAGCAAGGAACAGGGCAAATGAAGAGAATATTAAATTCATTTTCTCTCCCCTAATTTGTGTTGCCCAGTGCAGTCCCTATGTGGCCTGGTAGCCCTCTCAGTACTGTAGGTTTTGGGGGGGCTGTTTGACATCTCAAAGCCCCAAAGGAATGGCCGTAAGACAGTAGTGAGCGGTGTGATGACCCCAACATGTCCTTGAAACATAATGAGATTCGTATTTGCACTTACAGACCGTATGGTACACTTGCAGTTGCTCTCTGAACAGCACATGCAGCCTTGGATGTTCTGGACAGCTGTGTCTGTGTTGCACGGCATACTCCCCCGACTCCCACGTATTTCTGCCTTCTAGTCACTAGAGAGAGATGGGGACACTTACATACATCAGTCGGTGTCATCTGATGCAGCAGCAGCTGTAAAGTTCTCCATCTTACCCCTCTTCTGTTTGGATCCGGGCTTCACCTTCCTGTAGTGATAGCGACCTCTCCTTTATGCAGGTATCCTACAGCTGCTTGAAAAAGAATTACGCTGCTTACAGAATGAGAGGTGAAAATGAAGTTCTTAACATTCCTTTAGGAGGCTGCCAGCCTGTTGTTGCCTGAGGGCAGTAGGCTGCTACCGTTATTTCACAAAGCTCTCAGCAATATTGTTAGGAGGTCACTGCATAAAATGAGACAGCATCTGAACTTTTTTTTGACCTAATGTATAAAAATTAATTATTTGGTTTAATTTTGATGGAAGATTCAAACACAAACTTTCTGATCTAGAAATTGCTACTAATTTGGGGAAAAAAGCTCATGTTCTACTGTGGAAATTGCCAAGCTTTGCAGCGGAGCCAAGAGATGGAAAACACCCTGCATTCCAAGCCCCAGCCCCACGCGCACAGCCCTGACCAGGTGTGGTGGTCAGATAACCAAGCTGCTTGACATGGTGGTGGGAGAGGAAGAGGGGGCCTTTAGGCAGAACGGGCAGGCTTGCTGCCTGGGGCAGTGCTGGTTGTGGTCCTTTCCAGGGAGCCCCTGTGGCCAGCTTACATTCGGCTCATCCCAACTGACCTGCCGCAGAGTTTGCGCTAGCTCTAAGTCTTTTATTGCTGGCTTTTTAGGACAGCAAAGCACAACACAGTATTGTTTGAGTCTTCCTCGCAAGGCAAGCTGCAATGTGAGAGAGAAATGATCAGTAAACGGGGGGGAACACCATCTGTGGCACGTGCTACGTTTGTATTTACCAATGTTCAGACTTACTACCTCTTCAGCCACAAGATCTAGAAATGCATAATTCTGGAGTTAAAAGTGAATTGTGCATTTTTACAGCAACGCAGTAAATGAAGACTAGAATAACAAATGTTTTGAAGACCTCAGCTTATTTTTAGGTGGAAGAACAGTTGCTAATTAATCTGACATTGCTATTTTAGCCTTACCATTTGAGATTGCACATAAGCATGACTTTTCATGGATTGTGTTAAGCTGTTTAGGAACAGAGCTTACTATTACTTGGTATCTGCGGACAGCTTGGTATGAGTATTTTTAAGGTAAGGATTTCGTGATAGCTTTTACTATATTGAGCACATGCTTGATAAGTTCTTGAACTTGGCATAGATATCTCTTGGTTTTTTGCTTGCTGCATTTTGGGCAGAAGAGCATTTTTTTCCTGCATGAGCCACCAATATTCCTCTTTATTCTCTGATCTAGGAGCCCAGCATCTTCCTGGCGCATTCTTGATAAGTTCTTGAACTTGGCATAGATATCTCTTGGTTTTTTGCTTGCTGCATTTTGGGCAGAAGAGCATTTTTTTTCCTGCGTGAGCCACCAATACTCCTCTTTATTCTCTGATCTAGGAGCCCAGCATCTTCCTGTTAGAATAAAGAAAATAGTTTCCCATTATTTTCAGTCTCTAATGTCCCATTAACCATGTTATAAAAAGCTGATTGAGAAAATGTCACACAAAGGCAGTCGGTTAAATTTCATCGCCTTCAGTGTGTCAGCATTGCCAGATGTAGTACAATAAACTCAACAGAGCATTGCTACTGTTAAGTTACCATGGAGATTTACTTTCTTAAACTCTTCAGATGTGAACACAAAATGCTGTTTTAGACTGATCTCTAAGAACAACTAAGTGAAAATACCTTCTGCGGTTTAGTGTCTGTGGACAGTGTTGTGAATTCTGGTTTACGGAAGAACAAGGTTAGCTGGAAAATTTTGAAGAGTGACAGCATACGTTGCCGTATTCAAAACATTAATTGGAGCTAACTAACTGGAGCTCCACCCGATGAGCACGGGTGTTGCTTATCCCAGGGTTAGGTTTATACTGGGGGAGAGGTGGAAGTGTTAAAAGCAGCTTCACTGGGTTAAACTGGGAAAGTGGAAAGACGCAGCGCGAAGTCCTCTGGCTCGGCACTCGGGTGGGGTTGCTCAGGTTCTTGCTGCTGTCTTCCTGGGAGGGTGGATGGTGCCTGTGGGAGTGCAGGAAAGGCACCAGCTGGGGTGCAGGACTGAGGAAGTTTATTATTAAATTAATAATTATGGTATTATTTTCTGGTAACTTTGAGGTTATGTAGCCTTTAGTTAAGGATAAACGCTGAGTCTGTACATCACTGAAATCAGCATTTGTGTATTATTTCAACAATTTAATTGTTTTCATTATTTAAAAAAAGAGCTAGCGGGGCTGCGCTACACATTGGGCGAAAAATGGGTCCTTTCAGCAGCAAAATCCTCCGTGCACCG